AGTTGAGTTGAGAGCAGAGTGTGAATACCCGTGCGGCTTACTTAGACTATTCGTGTTTAAAACGCTCGTAGAGATCAAATTCCAGCTAGCTCGGATGAAAACGTTATTAAGTACAAGATTAGATGAAAGTTCAGACTGCGGTGGCGACTTTCGCGGCGACGTCACACGTCGAGTTCATAAGCCAATGAGAAAGCCTGCTCCACAAGAAACTACCGAAAACTACCGATGTTTCCTGACCAATCGATAAACAAACCAGATAATCCGTATGTGTCCAACCAAATAGAACACAACATGGATATTATTCCTCTGACTCACGCCGTACAGCCGACCAATAGCAACTCACCTCATATTAATGGACGCAAACCACCTTCGATAATCTTTAAGGACTCTGGATATGAATGGAAGAAACATAAATCTCTCTTGAACAAACACAATTTCTCACTACATGAATATTACGGACAACAAATTAAGAACGGAATAAAAATTCAAGTTTATTTACCTACCATTCTACTGTCAAATGATCAAAGCTTTGAATGAGGAAGATATACTATACTATTGCTTCGAACTTCTGGGAAACATATATGTTATAGAACTGACCAGAAGCTCACCGGCTTACAGGAAGACCGAGGAAATTGTTGACGATCTCAAATAAAAGGGCTACGGCGTCATGCGAGTAAACCAGCTCGCAAGATGTGCCAATGGTGTAATCGAGGATCTCCTTTGTTTTTGGTCACTCTGGCCAGAAAGAACTTTAGTAAAGAGATTTATAATACGAAATTTGTGCTTGGAAGGAAGATCTAGGTTGAAAGATACAGAGAACGTGCTGGACAATTGCAGTGTTACAGCTGCCAAGGTTTCCACCACTCTCTGTCAAAGTGCCATCATAAGCCGCGATGTGTTCGCTGTGGTAATCCACATCAGTCCTTTCAATGTGAAGAAGCAGAACCTGCGAAGTGTTTAAATTGCTTGCAAGTAGGACATACTGCTAACTTTAGAGGCTGCGAAAAATTCCCTAAACCCAAAAGTATTCCACCAACAAAAACCTTCATCAACAGATTTCTTACTAACGAACAGTATTCCCAAACCCTGAAGTGTTCTTGCTCCCTAAGCTCTGATCAAAGCTAAGCAAGTCTTAGCTGAACTGAAAATATTCGTCTGGGCTATTAAAGAATAACGCCTAGCCTTTATATTCAAGCAATCTACGGCATAAAAGAAGACTGTACTTATTTGTTACTGACAAACAGTATTCCCAAACCCTGAAGTGTTCTTGCTCCCTAAGCTCTGATCAAAGCTAAGCAAGTCTTAGCTGAACTGAAAATATTCGTCTGGGCTATTAAAGAATAACGCCTAGCCTTTATATTCAAACAATCTACGGCATAAAAGATGACTGTACTTCAAGATTCCGCGCCTTCTGCCCCAAATTCATGGATAATTACATCCGTAAGTTCTCAACAATACGCTTCACCGTATGAAACGCATGTGGGCTCCCTATCCGACTGCATGAACTTCAGCACTTCTTTACAGATCATGATATTTATATAGGCCTAATCACGGAGACGCATGCTCAGCCCTTTCATTGTCTGAGTATTCCCAACTTTCGTTCATGTTCATATCGCTGCGATCGTCTTAACCATCGAGGTGGTGGTGCCATGATTTATGCCATAAAATACTTTCCCTCCTGCCTCCTTAATGTAAGCAGAGATTATAAGTGTGCACAAGTTACTGTGTGTGCCAATCTACCTTCTTTTAAAGACATCTACTTTTATGCGTTCTATAATAACCCTCCTTCAAACAGATTCAGTGACAATATTCTGACGTCCCTACTCTCGTGGCGGGTAATCTAAACGTAAAGCATGTTGTTTGGAACTGTAGACGGAGCAATTTAAATGGAAAGATTTTACATGACTACAATTACGAGCTATCCTATTGTGATTCACACTCCGCCTGAGTGTATTCACCGTTCTTGAGCATTAGAACTTGCATTAGGAGGCTTGAGCATTAGGATATCCCCGACTCCTTTCAACTACTACAACCCTATCACACTCATTGTCGTGCACGGGGCTACCTCCTTGCCATTGCAACTCTTTGAATCGCCAAACCCGAAAAATTCTACCACTGAAATTATCACGGACGGGATACTCTGCGGAAACCTAATAAGAGATAATAATTTCGTGCATATCAATAACTTAAAGATTGCGCAAGGTATCGATAATGCAGTTAAAGCTTTCATCCAAAATATTCAAAGTGCTATTATCGAAGCGAGCGACATCATTACCAACCGCGATAATATCTACTGCCTCCCTTCTAATATTAATTAATGAGATAGCGCAATCGACTTCGAAAATGCTATCACCTTACACGGGTTCCGCTATCAAGCGCGAAATTAATCATCTCAATACGGGCTTTCAGGTATCTATCTGCCTACGTTAAAAAAACGATTTCGGCGAAAAAATTCGATTTTTTTTAATTGCCCAATTTGAAAAGTAAGTTTTGTAGGATTCCGAAAATGGTTCATTTTTACGTTTGTGATAATTAGAAGAGAAGATATAGCCAATTAACTGGAAGTGAAAGAAGAAAGACCGGAAGTGCCATTTAAAAGGCTCAACTTAAAGGTAAACAATGTTGTTATCCGTGGTTTTTTTTACCTGTTTGTGTGTAAAATTGTGCTAAAACATTTCATTTTAATTCTGGGTACATTTTTTTGTTTCTGGCAATAATTATTTGCCTTAATTTTTTGAACTGAGACTGGCAACATTGCGGTTTCTTGAACTGGGTCTGGCAACATTGCGATTAGGTATAAAGACTATGTTTGCTGGGTGCATATATAGTAGTTTTAATTTTTATTTCAGGGTATCTTGGATTACTTCCTGTGTTTGAACATTTAGGCATATCAATTGAACAAGAAATGATTAAAAATTACTTTGGAATTGATAACGAAAGAATAAAGAACTCGAAACGCCATTCGTCGCTCATTTCGATAATAGCCAGAAAAAAATTAAAATCAAATAGGAAATAAAAATTACTAAAGTATAAAGATATGGAGGGTGTGATGTACAAATGTGGAGAATTTTAAGTGTGTAAATACAACAGAACAGTTTTTCTGTTAATGTGAAACCTTTAAATGCGTTTTCTGAAAAACTAATTTTTCTAGTGTTTTTACATACAAGAAATGTAATTACTCAAAATGTTCTAAAGATATCTCTATTAAATTTTCACACCAAGTGTTTTTTCTATATTATTTATTAGGTTTTAAGCTACAATCTAAGTAATATTTATTAATTTGATTGTTTTATAAGTATTTATATATAAAACGATAAGAAATATTTTACAAAAAACTGTGTTTTTTTCATGTAATTACACATATTTTAGTAAATTTAGAAATATCATAATATTTTAGTTCATAACACAGATGAGTGTTGTAGTAGTATACAATTTAAATAAAATTGAAATATATGCTGTGGGAAAAATATATACAACATTTAACGTAAGTGTTGAAATTCTCCTAAAAATTTGCATAAAATTGTATATATTTCAAAAAATTGATGAAAATATTCCTAAAAAATGTACCTATTTTCATGATTTGATATCATATTTTGACTAAATAAATATATATTTCATCAGAATTCTATGTTTTTTAAAAAAAGAGCTCCGAACGTAGGCAGATACCTTAAAAACTTAATTAGAGAGAATAAAATAGAAATATAATAGAGGAAAATGATAAGCTTAGATACACAGGATGATACCTTCTGGTCCCTCATAAAGAATTAAAACCTACATATTCAAGTAATAACCCACTCTGTTACAATTATACTACAGCAATTTCGAATCAGGACAAAGCAAATGTTTTAGCAACTCACTTGGAACATCAATTCAAATCTAATGATTGGCCGGCGGATCCTGAATTTAAATTAAGGACGCTCTCTTAAACGAGACTGGTTAAACTCATCGACTGTGTGAAATCTCATTACCTTGACCACGCGCATTCAAGTGTCGGATATTATTAAAAAGCAAATAAGTTGCTCGGATATAGGATTCAACAGCCGATGCCCCTCTCATGTGTCTCTCCTAACTCTGCTTCATTCAAGTTTACGACAGCAGTAATTGGATCATGCAACAAAGAAAAGAGTTGCGTTTTCGGATAAATCATGATTTCTTTTACATCACGTTGATGACTTAAGTCAGACTAATCCTTCCTTTAGGCAAAGAGTTGTTTGATACAGCTGGATGTAACGCGGAATGTGAACAGGAGGGTGTAAAGGTAATACTTTGGAGGACGCACTCGTGGACATTCTCTAAATTAGACACAGGTGGATCGGTGATTTATTAAAACATGCCATGACAGTTGCGGACTATATAAACATTTTTATAACATATATCCTCTTATCGCTTCTGTCTTCCGCACCGGAAATGGATGTTTACAGCATGACAACACTGCTTATCACGATGACTCAATTATGCTGTGCTAATTTGAGAAACACGAATTCCTATTGATAGCCTGACTTCCTAACAGGCTAGATATTAATCCTATTAAGCACAGCTAGAATGTTACGGAGTTCGTGTTCGAGGCTCACAAACCCTTTCCTCGGAAACTAAGAAACTTTCGTCGTTCAGTTTGCAAATCTGGTAAATTTTCCTCTGAAAATTTATCAAGAGCTTGTAAAATCCATGCCATGTCAAGCTGCTTATTATTTGCTGGAAGGTCATAATATTTTGGCTGATAAACGTTTTCAAAGTATTATTGTAAAGCTCATTGCATTATTTTTCAGTTAATGCATTAGAAGCCATTCAATATATCCTTTTAAGCAGAGTGTCTTGCAAATTATGACTTATTTGACAGATGATACGCGGTGAAATAACCTTAATTAATTCTATTATTCATTAATTTTATTCTGAATTTTCTATGTTGCTTATTTATGTATTTTTCTCATTTCCTTTTTATGTTGTTTCGTTTATTTACTTTTTTTGTGAATATTTTTAACTGTAATCTTAATGATTTTCAGAAACCCATATGTAACATCGTGAAGGCCGTAGTCAATTATACAGGTATAGGAGATCAGTATTCTTCACTTGGCGCCTTTATCTCTGATGCTGAATACGTTAAAAGCTTGTTTCCGTTGCTGAATAATCTTACTCATAAGTAGGTCCTAAAATTTATGCTTTTCATGTACACTGCTCAAAACAAAACAAACAAACAAAAAAAGGGGGGAGGGGACAGTTCTATAGCTCTCGTTCTACTCGGCCGATTGACAAAATTCAAATGTCTCGAAAGCGCGACTTAGGATATATATTAGATTTATATATAGCACTAGGCATTTTGACACAAAATCGGACTTTTTCTGAAATAACATACCAATGTTTTTACATATTTCGATTCTACGACTCAAATTATGCCTAAATATGAAATTTTGTAAAATTTGGAGCGAAATTTACGGATAAATTCACAAATTTATGTTGGAACTTTTTTTTCAGTTTGCGCCAAGAATAGTTCACTTGGCGAACTTCTTAATATATGGCAACCTAGTTTCCTTTCCCATGAGAGGAAAAAAAGTTACAATCGTTCCTTTTTTTCAAATAATATTCTTTATAATATATTTTTAATTATAACTGTTATTATTTTAAGTAATTTTTTTCCTTTCGAATTTCATTTTAATTGTTTAAGTTGCGTGGCTTTTTTCGAATAACTGTTTTAAAAATTTCTATTTACCTATTCGAACTGCGTAAATAAAGGTGCATCGTTTATTTTTTGTTTTCAAATAGTTTTCTTTATATATATTTTTTGTCGTATAGTTATCAAGTTTAGGTAATTTTTAAAATTTTTATACTTTTATTTTAATTGTTTGTGTTGCATTGTCTCTTCAGATAATTGTTTTAAAATTTTCTATTTCTTCATTCGAACTGAGCATTTTAAATATATTTATTAATATAAATTTTTCAGAATTTTATTTTATTTAATTTAACTGCGTTTCTTTCGGAAGAACGCTTTGTGTCCCAGACTACGATGCATCTGAAAACTGAATATATTAAAAGAGAAAATACAGTAAAGCACAGTTAACACGCCTTTCAATTTTCCGTATAGAAAAGCTATATAAATGAGAAAGATGTATAACCGACATTTTAACTTAGGATGACTTGCATATATTTCTTTAAATAGCTGTAGAGACATTATTTTTTAGAAGCAGAGGAGATGAAAACTTAGCAACGCCTTCGCCGGAAATCGAACCGCGGACCTCTTAATTACGCGCTGAGTGTGCTGACCGCTACATCACGAAGGGTCGCTAAGAAGGCGGGAGAAATATATTATATAGCTTCAACATTGTGCTCATATTGTTATTCATATTTTATATAAAAACGTTATTCATATTTTAGTTAAATATTTTATTTTTGAAATCGTAAGAATCAAATATCATAAGATTAAAAAGTTTTAAATTCAAAAAAATACTAAATTATATGCAAAAAGGTTTTTTTTCCTTCTTAATGGCTTGCTCTTTTTCTTCAGGCATTCTGCAACTATATTAAAAAGCATCAAACTTTTCGAAACATCTTCCTATTTCTGACATTCATTTTAAGTAAAGTTATCGCCTTCCATTTCATAAAGGCCCACAAACGGCCGAGCGGCAAAATTGCTGAACACTGGTAGTTCGCTCCGGGGTTCGAATCCCGGCGAACGGGCTGGTTGCATGGGCGTTTTCGTGGTTTTTCTCATTGTAACGTGTAGGCCAGCTGGTTTCCCTTAGAAAGTTCTTCACGAAGGCATCCTTCCTTTTAGGCAGATAGCCCTGCTTTTCCGTAATTTAATAATCAAGTTCAATCCATTTCATCAGTATTTGATCAGAGCCTTTATCAGTCTTTAGCGGCTAAGCATTTTGAAGGCATGAGATGAAAGGAAAGACTAGTTTCATCAAGAGGGAAAGCGTCTTTGGATTATATCCATATAGGTTTTAGAGATATTAGGGCTTTTGGAAGCAGGAGAATTGGAAAATGAGCAATGCCCTCGCCGGGAATCGAACTACGACCTCTTGAATACGCGCCGAGCGTGCAGACCACTAAACTACGAAGGCACACTAAGAAGGCGGGAGAAATACCTTATATGCCTTAAAGGGCGGTTGGGCATTAGGAGACCCAGTCGCCAAATCCTGGTGGTGAAGAATCATCATTCACCACCTTTTAGGTCGGGCGCCACTGCAGAGACATTAGGTATTTTTTTTGGAAGTAGAGGAAATGAAAAATGAGTAATGCCCTTGCTGGGAATCGAACCACGGACCTCTCGAATACGCACCGAGCATGCAGACCACTACACCACGAATGCAAGCTAAGAAGGCGGGGCGCGGGAATTATAGTACTTTATAACGTCACTGGATAAATTCCTGAATCTTCAAATAATTCAACTGAGAAATTATGGGATGTTCCGTTTATGATACGATATGATGTTCTATGATGTAATTTAAATTTCTACAACCATATAGTCGCAAACCAGTCGCTCTTCAATTTAATCTGCAATGATATGGTTTTTGCTTTTTTGTTAGTACTAACTCAGTTGCTGCTATTTGCTGCTATGCACGTCCAAGTATTTTCTCTTTGAACACCCAACTTCTTCGAAGTAGATTCCCCTTTAAATTTTTACTTCCCGCCCAATTTCCTTCATTACCATAAATTTTGTATTCCTATCAATTTTTTTAAAAATATCAGTTGCATCAAATGCAAGTTTAAAGCAAAGTCCAAAGGATAATTATTTGAATCAAAAGATTTTTGTTAAATGAAAAGAAATGAACCACTCCAGCAGTGCTTGTCCTGTGCCACGGAGTGGCACGATTTTTATATCGGGTGCAAACAATCTAAATCATATTATTTAGAGTTTTTAAGCCTAATAATTTCTATATTAATATTTTATATTAATATATTTTTTATATAATCTACTACACGAAGCAAAATTACTATTTAAAACATTCTTTCTAAAAGGATTAATGTAAAAATTTATGCTGGGACATGACCCAAACTGTCAACGTCCTGTATGCTTAAAAACATTGTGAAAATAAACATCAAACGAACTTTCTCAGTTTTAGACAATTCAATTTAAACGAAGTTAAAGCAAAGTAGCAGACGATGGCACGGCGAAGGTAAAAATTTACTCTTACAAACATCTTAAAAAAAAGAAGACACAAATTTTTAAAAAAATTCAAAATTTGAATAATATCATCTGTAATATAAAAAAAAGTAGCTTTTCATATAGTATTAATAAATATTTATTACGCATCATTGAGGGAAAAATTCATATAATTAATCCTTTTTAAAAATTTATTTGAAATTTAAGGTTAAAAATAGCTGTGGCAATTCTCTGTAACAAAATCCATAAACCACATTTGGCGTTATTATTGCTCAAAAAAAAAAAAAAATGATGCCAAATTTCAAAACGCGAAAATATGTAAATTCATGTATATCTTAGAAAATTTTGAATAAAAAACTCTAATTTTTTGCAGGTATGCTTAGAACTACACCTTCTTTAAGATGATGGTAAAAATTTTATACGTAATAATTCAAAAATTTTTTCGAAAAATTTATAAAAATTATTTAAAAATAGAAATTTTAAAAACAAAACACAAAAAATGAGTGAATTTATTTTGGAATGAACCTAAATTTTGAAATGCGAAAGGAAAAATCAAAATCGTTTAATAAAAAAAGAGATATTAATAAATATATGCCAAATTCAATTAACATTGAGGAGCTAAAATTTTGAGAGCTAATTTTTTAAAAACTACTCGTAGGATTTTTACAAAACTTGGCACTCTGGCATAATTTGAGTCGTAGAATTGATATATGTAAAAACATTGGTATGTTATTTCAGAAAAAGTCTGATTTTGTGTCAAAATAATTATGTTAGAATAGTGCTATATATAAATCTAATATATATCCTACGTCGCGCTTTCGAGACATGAAGAACGCAATTTGAATTTCGTCAACCGGCTCAGTAGAACGGGAGATAAAGAACTGTCCTCCCCCGCCCTTTTTTTTTTTTTTTTTTTTTTTTTTGAACTTAAGATGTTCCGGAATCTGTTTATGTTAACTAAACCATTTTCATATCCCTGTCAGTTTTGAGTGCATTTAATATTGTTGCGTGCGTACGGGTTCGTTATGAAATGAATGCACAAGTCCGATAAAAAACGAAGAAAATTTATTATTATTGCAACAAAAATGCTTAAATTTCCTCAGATATTCGTGCAGTAATACAATACCTCAAAGTAGTTATCTTTTAACTACTCAAACGTTCAAGAGAACTTGATTCAAAACAGCTAAAGAAAGCTAATCTGCGAATTCGCTACCGTCAACAAGAGCAGTTTTCTAAGCAAACTCTTAAAACAACAACTAACTAACTAACTAATCGAATTGAGAGGTTTTTTTCCCTTTTTGTAAGATTTTAAATCGCGCGCGAGAATTTTCTGGAATTTTCTCGACAGCGAAAAGAGATATTTACTTGTTAAATGCACGTGCTCTTGTATTTTTAATTTTCCGCCTTAGCTTTCCTTTAATATTCGTCACGCGCTGCACTCCACGGGGAGTAAAACAATTGAATTTATAATTCAACTAACATTAGCTATTTAAATACCAATTTCGTAACACTGCCCCCTTCCCAAGGACTGCACGTCCTTGGGCAGTACAATCCTTGGACAGGAAGCTAAACTTACAACTAAGGCATAAATGCAATAATAAAAATTACATTACAATAACAAACAACATGAACAATAAATGAAATAACTAAAACAAATCAAATGTTATCAGATACTAAGTACAAATCAAATACTAAATACTAATCAAATACTAAATACACATTTAGAAACAAAAAGGACCATGGTGTTACACAATTTACGATTACTTACACTACGTACTATGGCCATAGTAATGAGCTAACCTGTCGTAATGAACGGATTTAGAGTTCGAAGACTTACGGATCCGAACCAAGACGTCATTCAGCCTGTTTAGGACGGTGTACGGGCCATCCCAAGGTGACTGTAAATTTGGACAAAGTCCTTTCCGTCGAGTCGGATTCCGTAACCACACCTTGTCTCCTTCGTGGAATTGATGTTCAGTAGCTCTTGTGTCGTATCGGGTCTTCATCTTCTCCTTCGCCAACTTGATTCGCTCTCGTGCAAAGTTGTGCACCACTTCAAACCGGGCCTTTAGGTCTGGAATATATTGTTACGTTATTTTGTTCCTTTGCGTTCGTACGGGGTTTGTAGATTTGGAGTGAATAACGACGACACTTGATGAAGTATCGAAACACACTTTATTTACGAATTATTAATCAGGACAGCTCCAAAATACCTTAACAGTCGTGGAAGATCTACTATAAACACGCTGGAACAATCAGCGACACAGTCTTCACACTGTCAGGCAATAACAGTGAAGACAGCTTCCTGAAAGCACATGACTCTGCTTGGTCGTTCTTGGAACTCCACGTACTCTAGAGACTCTCCACGCTACAACTCGCGATGCAATCGACGACACACGAGCACAGCTCCCGACTCTTCGGTTCAGTCGTTCCCAGAGCTCAACACGCTCTCTCGACGATGCACTTAACCGCGCTACATTAACAGACTCCTTCGGTGCACTCGACGACCCACTCGGCACTCGCTGCCCGGCTGTCGATCGATTCCGCAAGGATCGACTCGCTAGATGAGACACCAACTCGATACTGACTCTCTAGCACTCTATGCGAGGCACACACACTCGCCCTCTCAACGAGGCATACTCTCGATACTCACTATTTCGCACTCTAGACGAGGCGCACACACTAACTGACAGCAGGCCAGTAGGGTTTATACAGCTTTCGGCTTGTGTTCGGGAGCAGAATTCGTTCCAGAAAATTCTCCAACCATCCATGGTATATCGCCAATTTTGTCGCCAAATGGGCGATTTCTCGCCTGTTTGGCAACCCTTTTGGCAACCCTAAAACTGCTTTGCGGGGACGCAATCTTACCGCGCCTGTACATTTCGTAACAATATTCCTCAGGCGATGAAGGAGCATCCGGAGGGCGACCAAACAAGAGATCACAAGGCAGACGAATGTCACGACAGAAGAGCATCTGTGATGGGGAATAGCCGGCAATCTCGTGGACAGCACTGCAGTAAACCAATAAAAACAGTGGTAATTTCTAGTCCCAGTCCTGGTCGTTTCTGGAAACCACTAATGAGAGGTTATTAAGGATGGTTCGTTTGAACCTCTCTACCATGCCGTCAGACTGGGGATGTAATGGCGTCGTTAGGGTTTTGTCAATGTCGAGTAGTTTGCAAAGTTCTTTGATTGCTGCCGAGTTAAAATTCCTTCCCTGATCGGAATGTAACTGAAGAGGAACTCCGAACCTTGAAATACAGTGCTGTATCATTTACCTCAGCTACTGTGACAGCCTCTTGATCAGGAATAGGATGCGCTTCAGGCCACTTGGTGAAGTAATCAATGACAATGAGTATGTATTTGTTATCATCAGCAGTTCATGGCAGAGGTCCCAAGATGTCAAAGGCGATACGTTCAAACGGCGCACCTACGTTGTAACGTTGCAGCTTGCCTCGGCTGCGTCTCTTCGGTCCTTTCTGACCTGCACAGGCATCGTAAGATCGGCACCACTTTTGCACGTAACCCTTTGCATTATTCCAGTAAAAGCGCTCACGAACTCTCTGCAAGGTCTTAAGTATTCCAAAGTGGCCTCCTGTAGGGCTGCTATGTAGTTCTTTAAGGACATCAAGAATCCGGGATCTTGGAAGTATCAATTGCTATCAAAAGTCTTCCCATCATCCGATTCGAATTTCCTGTATAAGACTCCCTTTCGAATATGAAGGGAATCCCAGAGTGCGCAGTATTGTTTGTTGTAGGACTACAGATAGAAATGTCCTTTCAGGTAGGTTTTCTGTTTGATGACTCCATTAAATCAATTATGGGTTTAATGTCCCGGTCTTCCTGCTGGTCTTTCCTGACTTCATCATCATTCCACGGGTCTCGATCAGCCGATGTTGGTGTCGTAATTTGTCGTGCGACTGGACTCAGCAGCTCGTATTTCGCTTCGACCCTGGAACAATATCGGCAGCTTTCGGGGCATGGTCTTTTAGACAGGGAGTCGGCATTTCCGTGAGATCATCCCTTCCGATGACGGATAGTGATGTCATATTCTTGGAGTCTCTGTATCCACCTCGCTATTTGACCCTCAGGATTCTTAAAATTTAAAAGCCAGGCCAATGAGGCATGGTCTGTGCGGAGCAGGAATTTTCTGCCGTATAGATAATGATGGAAATGTTCTTCCAGCTTTAACTATGGCGAGCAACTCTTTCCTAGTGACACAGTAATTCCTCTCCATTTTAGAAAGGCACATGTTCCAGTAAGCCAGTACGCGCTCTTGGCCGTCTATTTTTTGGGGCAAAACAGCACCGGCACTTTCATTGCTTGCGTCCGTGTCAAGAATAAATGGTCCGTGTCAAGAATAAATGGTCGTTTAATTGCACATTCTGCAGCAACTCCGATGTAATGGTCTTCTGAGGACACGCATTCTGGGATGTTACACTTTCTTTCAACGTTGGTTACCGGAGTACATGCTGCAACCACTTCACCTTTCTTAATAACTCTCGCCATCTCAGTTACATTGGCAACTCTCACCGGGATAACCGTTCTCGATAGTTCGACGAGTGTTGACGCAACTAGTACTCCTTTTGGCGATTACAGTTATTGGGATATTCTATAATGCCGTAGCGGAAATTTCTATATTCGGCTATGGATCCAGGAAGTAAAAACTCGATTCTTGAGGGTATTGTGATATCGTCTTGCGCTATAATTTTGTGGATAGATTTCACTCCTTCATCATTAATTCCGAATAGGGTTATATCCTCAGATGTAGAATGCAATTCGTTATTTTTAAAGTCTAAAGAAAAATTGTATTTCCTTAGTCCAATTCGACTATGCAAGGATCAGTGATCTCTGCTACATATGCCGTGTAATGGTAAGCGGCACTTGAAATGTTAACGTTTACTTTTCCGTCTATGTCGATCTTCTCACCGGATAAGTTTGTATTTTTAATTTTCCGGCTTAGCTTTCCTTTAATATTCGTCAAGTGCTGCACTGCACGGGGAATAAAACAATTTAATTATTAATTCAATTAACATTAACTATTTAAATACCAAATCCGTAGCAATATCTTAGAGCAAAAGAGAAGTTCAGTCTTATTTTGAACGCATTTATATTATATATAAATTTGCTTCGACAACTCCTTTTCTACAACGTTTTCTCCGCATTGTAACGCTTTTAAGTGGATGCTGTTCTATTTAATTGTTCTTCTGACAAAACCCCGCTAGCTGTTGAGCGGTAAAATCGCTCAATAGAGATATTTCGAGCAATCCCTATTGAGAATCCTGACGAGCTGGCTGGTTGCATAGACGTTTTCGTGAGTTTCCCCCCCATGTGTAACGTGGGCAACGAGTTGTTTTTACTTGAAACTTATTCATGAAGGTATCCCTTCATATAGGCAGATAGCGTTCGCATGTTTCCACGTAATTCAATCAAATCTTATGCCAGGAAGCTTAAAAAAATTGGAGTTGATGGAAAGATTCTTACTTTCATAAAAAAGAAAAAAAAATAATCTTACTAAGACCAGTTTAAATTAAGGACAAATACTCTTTTATAAAGTTTTATTGACAATTTTTCATGCAAAATGTACCCTAAAAAGATTAGGAAAAGGAAGATGAGTAACTTCATGTGGTTACCTCGATTAAAGTGGCTTATTTAAATTTTAAATTATAAAATTCTTTTATATGTTATAACTAGCCTTAGTTTTCTACTCATTTTCAGTTTCTGAATGCTAAAGTTTCCTTCTTATTTTTTCAGAAAAAGATTATTAAGTAATTATAAAATATAAAAACAAAAACATTCCTCATATTGTGCTCACAAATAATTACCTAAATATGCATTAACAACTTTTAAAGCCTTGGAAAATGCATGCCTGCTATGTTATTGTCATGCGATGATTTGTAGGTGCGTTATTTTTACAGCTATATTTTCAACGAAGATGGTTTTAAATTGTGAAGTTTATGAATGGCTTTATTTTCGACTACGATATTTCCGAACTGCGATGCTGTCTCCTTGCTTTGTTTTCTCCTACGGTTTTTGTACGACGTTTTCGTCTTGCATGGTTTTCTCTGCAACGTTTTCGTCCGCGATGTTTTCGCTTGTAACCAACATCTTGACTGTAATAATTTGTTACTTTATATAGCATCTATCTGCATAGCTGTTCCTTGCTTTCGTGCAAACCTTCATCACCCAGTACCATTTTAGGTACTTTCACAGAATATTCATGATTCTATTCTTCAGAAACCCGTACTAAATTAAAATCATCATTAATTTGACGATGGTCTTTGTCAGCTAAGTTAAAAGGGTTACATTTTGTTTGGAGGCTAAGTTAATAAGATTATATATATATTTCATAATAAATAAATCATATTTCCCAAAAGCATAAATTTTCAGTTGTATATAGCATGGGTGACCAAAACTTACGACGATAGGAGTCGCACGTTAGATTTCATAAAAGCTCGAGAGCCACAGCTGGATTCTCTAAGAGCCGAAAATCCATATTTTATATCATCTCAAAACTTTTGAAATAATTAATGAGAATTTTTCTATGTAATTAATACCATTGCATAAAACTCGAAACTTTATTTCTCCTCTCGTGTTCATTTTTAAACATTTGTAACATTTCGTAAAATTTTAGAAATAAAGTCTCTTGAACGCAGCAATGTTTTGAAAATGTTTTTTTTTTCAAACCATTCAAGTTCCTAGTAGTTCCTTTTTCCTACACTTCGCAATGGAACTTTTCAATTAAGGTCAGAATGTTCTTGAACAATTTAACTGTCTACTTCACTCGCATTGTTTTATTATTGATTGAGAGAGGAATAACGGATAAAAACTCACCGTGTACCCTACATTCAACCGCCTTATAATTTTGAATGAATCTTTACATAGTGTGCAAATAACAATACAATTGAGCATTAATAATTGTTTAATAATTATGTTGAATGCTTCAGGGCCATAGCTGATTATCTCATGTTACGCGTTATTATGGATAATATGGACGACATGAGCTTCATCTTAAGACTAGTGCTGCAAGAGAGCTTCGAGGGTCAAGCGCAAACGCCATTCAAGTATAATCTGAATAAGTGGAAGCACTGCGTAGGATGGATCTCTTTGTACATGCCCTACGCTTTAGGGGTGGAATATGTGTCCAAATTCCTTCCTAAGCGGAAACTAAAAAAGGTTAGTATGTTTTAAATATTTTATAGCAGATGCATAAACGATCACAGAATTTTCCCATGTGAGTGATCTCAAATTTAAAATACACGTCCAAATGGGCATTTTCCAAAGTTTGTGTGTTCTTTTATTTACTAAATATCATGTTCTTTGCATTTAAACCATAAAATTCAGTTCAACAGCAATATCGCAAAAAATTTTAAATGCAATGAGCATATCTTTAGAATTTTCGATACACAGTCTCTCGGAGCTGGAGATAAAAATGTTTTTCTTTTTTTCGTACTGTGTTGCCATTGCTCGGTTTGAAATCGTCTAGTTTTCTAATCAAAAATTCGTTAAAGGTTTACAAAATATGAAATAGATAATAAAATTCCACCAGAATGAGATGCCCATATTCGGGCGAATCGGTAAGAAAACGGCCCTTTTGGACGGAATATGAAATCTGAAAAGCTTTCAGATTTTTTTTTTTCTTTTCTTTCCCCGCCCTCCGGGCTCTTACGAATTTTGTACCCGCGGTCAGAGACTTAAAGATCAATACTAGAACCAACACATGGAAAGAAGGATCTGAATGAAAGGATGAACACATTGGACTGAACTTGATCTGTGCAAAAGAAAAATTAGATTATTAGTTAAACATTAATCACATTTTAAGCTATTAGTAACAGATTTACAAATGTGGCAGAAAGCATTGATATTCGTAACCTAGGTTTTAGGTTCGCATATATTGATATTCATTGATTGAATCAACCAAATATAAGAATTTGTATTTTGCTGAATTTATAATATCAGCAAATTTTATACTCAAGTGCACTTAAAAATGTTAAGAATTGAGTTTCTATTTCTGGAATAAATTTTTTTCCAATGGAATTTTTTTCAATGTTCACATTAAATTAAAATGTACCTTATGACTATGCAAATGAATGACATTATGTAAATGAATATAATTATGAAATCAGATCTTAGAACATACCTATAAAAAAGATATTTTTCGCGTTTACATTAAATTAGTTACATTTGTAGAATACGTCGTGGCTTGAAAATAATTTAAACTATCAGTTTATGATCTCTAAAATCCTGAAATAAGTTTTAAAGATTCCATTAGAAATTATATTTTAAGCTGCGAAAATCTGCTTTAGTTAACTTCATTCGCAAAATTCCTATTTTCTCACGCAGAATTCTTGTAGATCTCTTTGATTTAACATTCTACTTCCATAAATAAGAAACATTATAAATTGCAGAGAATGACGATAAATTTAAAACCTTCGTTTTCGGCAACTTCACGAATTTGCAATTATATCCTTCAGTGTAAACCTAGTAAGTTCCACAGGCATAGTATTTTAGTATTACCGATCGAAACTTTCAACTTCAGTATCTTCCTACCGTAAGGCACATTCAACTCTGCTACATTTTAATGAATTTCCGGAACGAAACTAAATTTCAAAGCCTAACAAAGACAGCAATTAATTATCCTCAATGCAGTCGTGATAAATGAAGGGAAATCATGATTCTGAGTTCTACTCTTAATTTCCAAGGTTTTGTAGCTTTTCTATCAATTATTTTGGAAAACAAGTGACACTACACAAAATAATGATGGGACGAATCCAGAAATCCTTTCGAATGCATCACATAATA